ACAGTCAAATAGGGGTTGCATCACCCCGCATTCCCCCACTTTTTCTTCTTTTATGTTGCTCCGTTATCTAGTTATCCCTCTAGTACAGGAAAACCTAGTGGGAGCAAAAACCTGATATACAGGAGAAATTCAACCCACCGTCCCTCCGGAATAGTTCCCTCAGCGACACAAGTTCTCCTGTACTTTCCTATGGCTGTCAATTCACATATTATACAGAGTGTCACACAAAAAAAAACAGAACTTATAGAATTTAGGTGAGTGTGTGTGTGCAATGTTAAACTTTATTGAAGAATGTATGAGAGAGAGAAAAAGAGAGAGAGAGAGAAACAAAAAAGAAAGAAACAAAAAAAAAATATCCCCCTTTTCAAGTTTCTTCCTCATCTATTTCATTGCCACACAAAAGTATACTAGCGGCAAAGTTTGTAGGACTGGATGTGATAATTGCAGAATTTCATACTCTCAATCCAGTTCCGACTCCTCCCAGTAGAGCTGTAAATTGTCCCATTTTTCCTGACACCCTGCTTTTCCTAAAACACTGTCGCCGTTGTGCCGGACACCTTGGAGAAATAGAAGGATTATTAAAATATAGACTGTAAACTTCTCCCTTATTTGGAGTATCTTCTAGCCGTATTGCCTGTCTCCCATCCCTGCTGTGATACAGCGTATACTTATCCATCCTGTAACAAGGATCCACTACGATCTTCTGTTGACACACATCATCATCCTAATACAGCTTTGCCTTGCTCTGTGGGAACACTAGATCTCATCATTAGAAAGGAATAGCTAAATGGGAGACTGGAAGACTGAGAGAAAGAACAAAACAAAAGAAAAACAAACATACATACGGATGTAGAGAGCAACACAGAATTATGAGTGTTATTGATTGCTGGGACCCCCCAATTGATCAATCTTTTCCTCCTCTCTCAACTGTTCCCTCAGCACTTTCACGTCTGCCTCCAATCTTTCAGTCTGTCTCTTTAGGTCCCAGTAGTCTCTATTCCCTTCTTTATTCCTCCAACTATCCCAATTCCGTCTATTGGTCTGATGCTCATCCCATCTATGGTTCCTTCTCCAATTATTCTCCCAATAACTGTTCCTGTTGTTTCTCCGTTTTTCTACCCAATTGTCATTTTCCCAGTTAATATCTGTCCTTTTTAGTCTCTCCCAGGTATTTTTATTATTCCAATTATTGATTACCTTAGGCCCCTCCCATCTATTCCTCCAATTATCTCCCATTACATTCCTATGGTCCCTCTGTGGATCTCTCCATCTTTTGTCAAAGTCCTGTTTTGGTCTCCAGTTCTCATTATCCCTCTTGTTCTGGGGTACATCCCACCTCTGGCTTCTCCATTTACCATCTATATCTCTACCAGAGTCGACCTTGAATGTTCTTATGGCTGAAACAGAGAAGGCCTGTTCCGAGGAAGGATGCTTGATCCACCAATTGTAAGCTCTAGTTAGTACCATTTCTAAGTCTGCTGGTGTTGGATCAAAAAGCCTCACAAATTCTTGACACTCCCAGGGAATGGCTTCCATTACTTTAGTAATATGTTGTGGTGAGCCCAAGACCAGAGGCTGTTGAGGTTGGCGTAGCGTATACCAGAACAATATCCTTTGAGCTACCTCTCTAGGACAATCTGCTGGCCTCATCATAATATTGACTATTTCTTTCTCTATGCTGAGTATATAGAAAATCGTTGCAGCAATTCTTCCTGCCTGGTCAGACACACTGTTATTAAATCCAAATAGTCTGCTAGCCAAAGGACCCATAGCATATTCTAACAGTTCTGTCCATTCTTCTAAATTAAGACCTCCTTTGTTTGCTCTATTTGCTCCCCTCATAAACCAATGTGTAAAGGTGTTAAAGTCGTCAGTTGGCATACTTCCCCACCATTTCTGGAAATTATCTTTGTCTGTGATTGACATAGTCTCTGTCTGTCTAGAGAAGCTAGTAGGCGTTTCTCTTACATTAAAATGTTCCGTTATTATTATAGGGGCTTGTGGGACACAATTTACAATTGGCACAATTCCCTTGTGTTTTGTTCCCAGCACTGGTTCTTTACTTTCAGATATAAAATAAGACTGGTCTGGGCATACTCTAGGAATCTATTTATCCCATTTATTTGTGTTTTCTTTAATTTTCATTTTATATCCCATGACTAGGTCTTGGAGTTCAGTGATCTTAGCACTATATGCATCTCTCTGTTGTTCTATTTCTCTTAACTCCTTTTCTAGTTCCCCAACAATTGTAGTTGTTCTCAAAGCTGCAATTTTTAAACAATCCCTTTTGTCCATTGCTTCCTCCATTTTATTTGTTGTTTCCAAATTATGCTGCCGTAATTCTACAACTATGTCTATTAGGCCTCCTATTGTGGCTACAACAGCTTGTGTGACCAAACTTTTTATTTTCTTTGTTCTATACTTTTTGTTATTTACAATTTGTGTTAGTACATCCATTAATCTCTCCTCTTTTTCACTGTCTGGGTTTGCTGGCTCTGGAAGCTCATATGGACCATCATGTTTTTGAATATGTTTCCTAAAGTACTCACACACTTCTGTGGAAAAGTATTTGGCCCCTTGAAAAGACATTCTTACTCTTTTACTCACCCAAGTAAGAACCCAATTTAAATCAATTTGCAACTAAAGTATCACACTTCTGAATAGCCAACAATAGTTGATGTCTATTCAGTAGGCCAGGTGTAAATAGAGAAAACAAAAACCAAAACTCAATTACCTTTGTATGCTAAACACAATGGGTGGGGAACACAATATCCACAACTCTACTGTGAAGCTTGAGTTAGGATTTGGCCTAAACAAACGCCCAGTTTTGTTATATGTAGCACAATGGACTAGTATCCACAATGCAAAATATATATATATAGTATGGTGAAGGTAATACTTGCTAATTAATTTCAAAACCAGTAGTGCCAAAATTAGCATATTAAAATATAACAGCAAGGCCTGGAGGGTAAAGAAGCCGCATGGAAGCCTATTGTAATGCAGGGCTAGGCCTGTACTCTGATAGTCAAAACCCAATAAAACTCAACTCAGGTATTTGAAACACACAAAAAAACTAATACTATATTCAAAATTGAGGCCTGATGCCCAAGCTTGTATATTAAAAAGGAGGCACGAACTAGGATACAAAAGAATCAAATCAGCATTCAAATACAAAAAGAAGCCGCATGGAAGCCTACTTTAGTGTATTCAAATGCAGGGCTAGGCCTGTACTCTGATAGTCAAAGCACAACAAAACTCAACTCAGATATTTGAAACACTCAAAATTGAGGCCTAATGCCCAAGCTTGTATGGACTTTTTATATACATTTATTTCCATCCATCTTAACTTCAAGCATCTTGTAGTGTGTGCCTCTCCATTCTTCCTCCAGACTCTGGGTCCTTGGTTTCCAAATGAGATGCAAAAGTTGCTCTCATCAGAAAAGAAGACTTTGGACCACTGAGCAACAAACATGGTTTGTTTCTATTTAGCCCAGATAAGTGGCTTCTGGCGTTGTTTGTTGTTGAGGAGCGGCTTGACAAGAGGAATAGCCCATGTCCAGGATCCGACTGTGTGTGGTGGCTCTTGATGCACTGACTCCAGCCTCAGTCCACTCCTTGTGAAAGTCCCCAACACATTTGAATGGCCTTTTCCTGACAATCCTCTCCAGGCTGCACTCATCCCTGCTGCTTGTGCGCATTTTACTTCCACACTTTTCCCTTCCACATAACCTTCTTTTAATGTGCTTTGATACAGCCCTTTGGGAACATCCAACTTCCTTCGCAATTACCTTTTGAGGCTTTCTCTCCTTGTGGAGGGTGTCAATGATGGTTTTCTGCACAACTGTCAGTTCAGTAGTTTTCCCCATAATTGTGATTCCTACTGAACCAGACTGAGAGACCATTTAAAGGCTCAGAAACCCTTTGCAGGTGTTATGGCTTACTTAGCTGATTAGATTGGGATACTGTGAGCCTAGAATATTGCACCTTTTCACAATATTCTAATTTACTGAGATTCTGGATTTGGGGGTTTCATGAGCTGTAAGTCATAATCATTGCACTTATGACAAATCATGGCTTGAACTGTCTTGCTTTGCATGTAATGCGTCTATCTCATATATTAATTTCCCCTTTTACATTGTATTACTTAAATCAATTAAGTTTTGCACGATATTCTAATTTTTTGAGTATCACCTGTATAGCACAGTAAGTAAAACAGGGGACAAAACATTTTTTTAGATACATAAATCAGAAAAGGAAAGTAAAACAAGGATTAGTTAGATTAAAAACAAAAGAAGGAATATGTGTAGAAGAGGATAAACATCCAGCTGACTGCCTCAATTAATATTTTGTTCAGTATTTACAGATGAAAATGAAGGTAAGATATCTCAGTTAGGAAAAAGGACAAATGAGCAATTTGTTACATGTGAGTTTACAGAGTGTGAGGTTCTATTTCAACTTTCAGAGGAAAGGCAAATAAGTCTTTGGGGCCTTATGGAATACACCCAAAGCTATAAAAAGAGCTTAGTGGTATACTAGCAAACCCATTAACGGATTTATTTAACCAATCATTGTTAATGGGAGTTGTGAAGGACCGCCTGGCATCCTGACTGGGTACCTCTGCCAATCGATGCTTCCTAGCTGACACTGAGGACTATAAGCACCGCACCAGGCACCATAAGCACCATAGACTCCACTAACTGCCACAGCTTGGTTGGGGTCTCACCGTCCCTTCTCGTCCAAACCCCGTAACAAGGGACTCAGTTGGAAGGCATCTCAACACAAGAGCTAGTGATATAGCTGTGAAGCAGGTTCCCTACAAGCATGAGACAAGGCTACATGTTGAGGGTTAAGCAGGAACTGAATTTTAATGGTGCTGACAATCCCCAAGCAAGGTGTACACCCACATGGACCTTGCTATGGACAGGGATAGAAACCTACAAACCAATGATAACATGTTTACAATGGATGACACTCCCACATACAATACAATAAACCTTGCTCTTTAATTAGGAGATAATTGAGTCAAGCACTATAGTAAACTCAATTATCTCCAAACACAAAAAAACACACATTTCTAAAAAGTCCCCAAAGTACCCCAAAACACATAACATCCCCTGATAGCACTGATCTGGGTAACCAACATATCCAAAAACTACAAAGATCTGTTCAGGGGTTTAGAAATTCTATAGAAGTCATTTATATGACTGACCGCAGGCATGGTCCCATGCCCAAACAGTTCCAGAGAATCAGCGCTTGCGGCTGATCTAGTTCATTAGTTTGCAAACAAACAAACTATCGAACGGAGTCAATGTTTTCACCCTGGAGCTTGTTCCCTTTATACAGACGAATGGTGCCACCAAACTGTGTGCTTCTAACATGTATAGAACCAAATGGAGGCGATATGGAAGTCCAGCCATGCACGGGTGTTTCTGTATCCGATTTTAGTTCCATGAGATTCATGCCCAAACACTGTTGCCTGCGTTCATGTGAACAAGATGGCCGCCACCTCGTGGCTGTCCATAGGAATTGCAGCCACTCAAAACAAACAATTAGAACACTGCGGTGAGAAACGTTCCAAGTTGTTAATAGGTGTTAACAAGCTCCAGGGTGGTCTCTGTTCATGCGGTTGTACGTGTACAAACCGTAAAGTCCCAATTGCACGAACAGAGTGTCTGTATTTTAGCCAGGTCTATAGCAGGTGCCATAGTCACAGGGTAGGAGGCTGGCACATAGGCTCCTCCAAAAGACAGTGGCAAGGTCACTTCCTCCACAGGTGTGATCCTAGAAGATTGGAAATTAGCGAATGTTGTGCCTATTCACAAGAAAGGTAGTAGGGAGGAGTCGGGCAACTTTAGGCCAGTAAGCCTTACTTCAGTAGTGGGGAAAGTAATGTTAACCATGTTAAAGGATAGAATTGTTGAACATCTAAATCCACATGGATTTCAAGATCAGAGAAAACATGGGTTTACTTCAGGGAGGTCATGCCAAACTAATATTAATGATTTTTTTTGATTGGGTAACTAAAAAATAATAGATCAGGATGTTGCAGTAGACATTGCTTACCTATATTTCAGTAAGGCTTTTGTACGAATGGCCTGTAATAGTTCTTAGGGAAAAAGCAACAAAAGTAGCAACAAAATAACAGGGTTGTAGCAGACAGAGGGGACTTTGTAACATGGCTCCCTACTTGTGGAACACTCTGGCAGGCACGGCTTGATCCCTTTTTGGGGCAACTTAAGGCTGTGCAGAACCGAAGTTATTCTGGGCTGACGTCTGTCGACCTCGATAACCCATTGGAGTTGCCATTTTGCTTCCCAGGCTCCAAAGTAACAGCTTGCCATTGTCTCCTGAGACCCGGTTTAGCCACACCAATGGGTTATGATCAGTAGGGAGTCAGTTTCTTTATTGGAACAGGCACTCGTTTTCCAAGGCTGCATAGCTGACCTCTCGTGGCAGGATCTTTCTGCTGATGTAGGCAATAGGGTGTTCCCCTCCGTCCTCTCCTACTTGGCTGAGAACTGCCTTCAGCCCCAACATGGAAGCGTCTGTATGGACGATAAAGAGATTGTTAGGGGCTGGGGAAGCCAAGACAGGAGCATTAGTTAGTGCATTCTTGAGGGCCTGGAATGCTGCTTCATAGTGGGGAGACCACAAGACCTGTCAGGGAAGTTTTTCTTAGTCAGGTCCATCAGGGGTTTAGTGATAGTGCTGTAGTCCTGTACAAAACGCCTATAGTACCCAGCAGTGCCCTTGAAGGCTAGGACCTGGGTCTTAGTGCGGGATGTGGGCCAGTTCGCAACTGGCTATATAATGGCTGGCTCTGTATGCTGCTTTCCACACCCCACCCGGTGACCCAGATACTGAACCTCTGCCATCCCAAAACGGTATTTCTCTGGTTTCAGAGTCAGGCCGGCGGCCCGAATCTAATTCAGGACCATTCCTACATGAGCTAAGTTTTCCTCCCAGGACTCACTGTAGATAGCAATGGCATCCATGTATGCACAGGCAAAATCCTGGAATCCATCAAGGAGTCTATCCACCAAGCGCTGGAACGTAGTTGGGGCATTTTTTACCCCGAACGACATGACCTTAAATTGGTACAAGCCGAACTGGGTGACAAATGCCGACTTGGGAATAGCCTCCCCGGCCAGGGAGATTTGCCAATAACCTTTACAGAGGTCAATGGTGGTTAGGTAATTTCACCTGGCTATACGATTGAGTAGCTCATCTACTCGGTGCATCGGGTAGGCGTCTGTCACAGTCTTGTCACTGAGTTTGTGAAAGTCCACGCAGAACATTGTAGTACCGTCCTTTTTGGGCATCAAAACTACCAGGGATGCCCAGGGACTGTCGGAGGACTCAATGACCCCTAGTCCGAGCATCTCATCTATCTCCTTCTTCATCTCTGCTTGGACAGCCTCCGGGATGCAGTAAGGAGTATGTCTTAGGGGCTGCTGTCCTGGGGTATCCACTTGGTGGGTGGCTAAGGTAGTATAGCCTGGGTCCTGGGAAAATGTAAGATGCTTCTCCTGCAGTAAATTACTTAGCTGCTACCTCTCAGTAGGGCTAAGCCTGTCACCTATCTGGACTTGTTCCACTAAATTAGGGTGCGGGTGCCATTCTAATAGGTCCGGTATAGGCAGATTGTCAGGGTCCTCGTGAGTGGGGCTACATATGGCTGCCATATCTTCCGGCCTCTCAAGATACTCCTTGAGCATATTTATGTGGAAGGTTTTCCGAAGGCTTTCATCATGGCAGCTAACAATCACATATGTGGTATCCCCTCTTTTCTCAACTATCTGGTAGGGACACTGCCAGGATGCCTGCAGTTGTCTGCCTTAACCCCTTCAGGACGGGTGACGGCCGAGGTCCGTCACAGAGGGGAGACCCTTAACGACGGGTGACGGACCTCGTCCGTCACGCGGTAAAATTAACCCCGGATCGCCGCTATCGCGGCGATCGCGGGGTTAATGGTGCTCCCGGTATGCCTCTGTATTAATAGAACTAAAGGAGGGGTATTTAGGCCCAGTTCTCATCCTGCTCAGTGCCCTGTTGTGGTTTCCTTTGTGGTTGTCCGAGAGCACGTTCCGGTTATTAGTTTTCTAACTGGTTTTTGACTTTGGCTTTGTTTATTGACTTCTCTATATTCTGGTATCCTGACTCCTGACTTTCCTCATCGCTGCATCCCTTTCTGTGTTCCCTGACCTCGGCTAGTATTTTTGACTATTCTATGTATGTTAAATCCGGCCATTCTAAGGACCGGTAGTACGTTACTTATTTGTCATCCGTGCTATACAGTTCTACGAGCTGGATCAAACAGTAATCCTGACAACAGCTAATCGTATCACCCAAAATTTCTTCTGGCCCAATTTTAACCGAGATGAGCGGGTATATTGTAGTACGTGTGACACATGTCAACGGGTAGGTAAGCGGGGGGATCACCCAAAAGCTAGGCCTATGTTTATGCCTATCATTGGGGAACACTTTTCCCGCATAGCCGTTGACATTGTGGGTCCACTGGCCAGGGCTCAACCATCAGGTAAGAAGTATATTCTCACCGTGGTGGACTATGCCACACGTTACCCAGAGACAGTAGCACTGTCTAATATTGAGGCAGAGACAGTAGCTGATGCCCTGGTTAAGATTTTTACTAGGGTCGGATTCCATCAGGAGATTCTCTCCAACCAGGGAAATCAGTTTACCGCTGTACTCACCCAGCATTAAACCGCTGCTTAGTTCACCCTAACACCCACAGACTAATGGTCTCTGCGAGCACTTTAATGGCACCCTCAAGCAGATGTTGAGGACCTTTACTGACACTTGCAGAGACTGGGAGAGATTCCTGCCTCATCTGCTATTTGAATACAGAGAGGTGCCCCAGGAATCTACTGGGTTCTCTCCCTTTGAGCTACTCTATGGAAGAAGGGTCCGCGGACCCCTGGATCTCATTGGAGGACACTGGGAGGGAGAGAGAGAGCAAGAAGGGACTCCCATAGTACCATATGTTGTAGAACTCCGGGACCGCATGGAGAAACTGTCCCTGATGGTAAGGGAGAATCTCCAGGCGGCCCAGTGGAGACAGAAGAGGTGGTACGATCGGGGTGCGCAACAGCAGGTCTTCCAGGTTGGGCAGAAGGTTTTAGTGCTCAAACCTGTGAAGATGAACAAGATGCAAGCATCTTGGCAGGGCCCATATAAAGTAGCAGCCCAGGTGTGTGATACTACCTACCTTATAGCCAGCTGTGCAGATGAAAGAATTCAGCGTTCCTTTCATGTGAATATGCTGAAGGAGTATCAGGAAAGACCAGAAGATGTCGCCGCAGTGTGTGCCCTGCTGCAGATGACCCAGAGAATTTATCCCTGCCAGATTCATTAGAGAAGGACACCCAGACCGACCTCACTAGTCTTGAACAGCTCGGGGATCGCTTAAGCCCCACAGAGAAGGTACAGGCAAAGCAACTTCTGTGGGAGAAGCAGGCGACGTTCTCCCAAGAGCCCGGCTACACTACCCTAGCTGTACATAAGGTAGAGACCCCTGGACAGAACCCCTTATGACAGCCACCCTACCGTATCCCTGAAGCAGTCCAGGAAGGAATGCGGAAGGAGATACAGGAGATGACTCGGCTTGGAGTCATTGAACACTGTGACAGTCCTTGGGCCTCACCTGTAGTCCTAGTGCCTAAGAAAGATGGGACCACCCGGTTCTGTGTGGACTACAGGCAGCTCAATGAGGGGACCACCACTGACGCCTACCCAATGCCCCAGGTAGACGAATTTTTAGACAGTATTGCCAGGGGATGCTATCTGACCACCATAGACCTGTGTAAGGGCTATTGGCAGATCCACTTAGCCGTAGACGCTATCCCTAAGTCAGCATTCCTCACCCCCTTTGGCCTGTACCAGTTTAAGGTCATGCCATTGGGATGAAGAATGCTCCGGCTTCCTTCCAGCGTATGGTGGATAGACTCCTCGATGGCTTCCAGGAATTTGCTTTTGCATACCTGGATGACATTGCGGTCTACAGTGAGTCCTGGGAGGAACACCTGGTGCATGTAGGGGTGGTTCTGGACAAGATTTGGGCCGCTGGCCTGACCTTGAAACCAGACAAATGCCATCTAGGCATGGCTGAAGTACAGTACCTGGGTCACTGAGTGGGGTGTGTGAGCCAGAGACCAGAGCCAGCCAAAGTAGAGGCCGTGGC